CCACTTATTTTTTTAGACAATAGAATACTGGAGTTTGGTGTCAAGGCAGCAACAACAAGAAAAACAACTTTAAAAAAAAAGATGTTTTCCCTTCAGACAAATGTTCATGTCATTTCATTAATGTTACCTACTTATATTTTATTTTTGGTAAATCTTCAAACTAATAGATGCAACTAATAAGCAGCTAGTTGATTCAGTGGTCACATTTATAGTATTTTAGTTATCAACATGGGGAATGAGAGAGAGAAATAAGTCTGTTGTCTTGATTGAGGTTTAACGTAAATTAAATATTTTTGGTTTTATGAATACATCTTATCTTTCAGATGCCTTGTAAGGAATGAAGATTTTATACTGTTAATGAGTTTAGAGAAAAATTAATGTCCATACAGTAAAAATCTGAAAGAAAAAATTCTCCAGTATCTAAAAAGATTGTGGCTTTATAGAAAAATTAACCCGACTGATAGCATATTTGTTACGAAGGCTACTGCTCTAGAAACAATCAAAATGTTATTATTATTATTTTTTGGTTTCAAAACTATGTATTCTCTGTATTTGCATTATCTTCAAAAATCACCTCTTTTTCTTGGATTTTGCTATGAAGAAATGCTTTAAATAGGTGTTCTATAAAAAAGAAAAAGACTACGTTGTTATAGTGTGGCAAATTCACCTCCTCTTCTCCATGACAACAGATAAAGAAGCTGTAACCATGGCAACAGTAATGGGCCAGAGAGATTAGGGCCAGACTGGAGATTAGGCCTCCAAGAGCAAAGAAAAGAAGTCCCGATTGGTTCTTTATTAAGACTTTATTTGAAGACAAGTTGCTGGTGAGAGAAAGCATGGAGGATTAGCAAGAGCAAAATTAATTCTCCTATATAAAGCAAGGCATCATTCCTTTGTTAAAAATGTGTTCCTTCCTTTTCATATAACGACTGTTTAAATTGAGGTAAAGAGTCCATGATTAATTCTATTCTGAGCTTTGTCTGAGCAGCTGTGTGAAAGGACACCCCGTGAAGCCTGGAGAGAAGAGCATCTATCTGCATGCAAACTCCCACAGCTGTTCTTGGCAGTCCCTGGATGGGTGGAACCCTACGTGGGTGATAATGATCCCATGTGTGACTGAGGTGCTCTTGGGAAAAAAGGATTTCTTCTCCTTCTTTTAAAACTTATTTTTCTAACTTTTTGAAAATTCTCAAAAAGTTGTTCCATTAATCTTTAATCATATTTTGTTTTCTAAAACAGTCTAGTAAGGATCTCATTTTCTTTAAATTGATAAATTGTATAGGTATTACATTTTGAGTAAAATGCTATCTGTGATTTCAGGAGGCATTTGTTATTTTTTTCTTCCTTTTGTTTTTGCTCTGGCCAGTACAAGGATCTGAACCCATGACGTTGGTGTTATAAGATTGCACTATAACTAACTGAGCTACATTTGTTATTTTTTAAAAAAATAAATTTATGGAAATAAGAATGATTGACCAAATGATATGAATATTTTTTAAAGGATTTTGCCAATTGGCCTCTGAAAAGTTAGTACTCACACAATCTTCCACTGACAATGTATGAGAGTACCACACCCTGACCAGTGTGAAATAATATTTTTTAAAGTCTTGCCACTCTAACAGATTTTTTTAAGGCTTTTAGTGTATTGCACTGTGTATTTCTTCATTACTTGTCAAGTTGAGTCCCACTTTTAAATAAGGTTATTCCTTAGTGATTTTTAGATTCTTTTTATATTATGATATTAACTATCATTGTTATATATTGCCCAAATACTTTGTTTGGGTCAGCCTTTCCAGAGGAAATAGCACCTAAAGTAAGCCAAGAGGGGAAGTAGGAGTTAGGCAGATGAGTGAGAAGGACTTGTTAAAGCGTGGGAGCTGCTGTGTGAAGGCCCTAGGGAACCGCAAAGGGGTCAAGATGAATAGAACATGCTTAATGTAAGCATCAGGAAACCAAGGAGGCACCACATAAACTCCATGAGGACAATGGCTTCACCTCTTGTTCACCACTCTCTCTTCTGCAGATGATGGGCAGGTGACAGATGCTCTGTGAATACTGGCTGAATGAGTGGAGTTACTGAACACTGCTTACTGTGAATACTTGCAAGCCTCAACCCAAAGGCATTTTTCTTTTTCTGTCCACAGGAACACACTAGGCCATTATTCAGGAAGGGCAATGCCCCTGGAATCACCCTCAACTAATGGCAGAGCAGTGGGTAGATCAATACTGCAATGAGCTATGTTTGGGGACGCATAACTCTGAGGCATGTCCTACACTGACTCCCAGAGTCCCTAGTGAGATTGCCCTTCAGTTTCTTGCAGAGATAACTGGTTAAATAACTCACTCTCTAATGATTCATTCTCCATCCTGTCACACTTCCCGACTACTCACTGGTCTTCATGGGATTACCACCCCAATAATTAATTATTTACCCGTAAGTCCTTGTCGAGGATCTGTTTATGGGGGAAACCAAACCAAGCCAAACGGTGAGCCGAAGCCAAGCCAGCAAGCAGACGGAGCTTGGAATTTACACACAGGTAAAGTAAGGTTAAGCAAGCAGTCGAGTGATAGGACTGCATCTGTAGTTTTAGAACCTTATTCTGGATGCTGCACAAAGAATATATTGGAAGAAGTTGAGTTTAAGGAAGGCAGAGAACCTGAAAGACAGTTGTAATTCTGGTGAGAGTATGATGGGTGGATGCAAGTGTGGCTAAGGAGACACAACAGCACGGGGAGATTTAGGAGCTGTCTGGAAGGGTGAATCCGGGCATGTGAGGACTGAGGGATTGTCGGGACTAGGGGACGCGGTTCGAGTTTCTGAGCTGTTCAGCTGAGAGTACAGCGTGGACACAGCTGAGATAAGCAGCCCAGGCGGAGAAACAGGCTGAAGGTTGGGAGAGGGTAAGTTCACATCAGTGTGCACATTTGAGTTGTCAACAACATGCGGATGCAAGCGTTTTGTCAGGAAGCTTAATATCATCCATATATTTGAGGGAGACACCATATCCAGTCATCAGTCTTTCCCCATCCCCTCGCCACTCTGCTATGAAAGACTGATTAACTCACTGCCACTCTCCCATTTATTTCAAATACTGTGCTGATTGGAAAAGCATGGGGACATTTTATCTGCAAAGAAGTAGTCAAAGAATCTATGAAGCCAGAAATAACTTTGAAAGCTTTCTGCCATTCTTTAAAATCTCTCTTTCTTTGTATAACTGGCACTTATTGTAAGTTGATAATGTTTCTGGAACTATTGGGAAATCAGGTATCCTCCTCCTACCAGTGGATTTTTTCCAGCTAACAGAAATTTACTTCACGGCGTTAATACCAACCCAGCCAACCTCTGTTCAAAGCAAATGCAAGAATAGAGACTAACTTGGATAAAAACTAGAAAAATGATCTATAAAAGCCAGTTTGAAGTTTAAAGGTAGGCAGATGGGTATTTGTGGTTTGGAGCTAGAAATTACCTGTCAAGATGAAACACGTTTCCTAGAATAGGGGAATGGAACAAACAAAAATAAAACAGAGATATCTAGCAAAGATAAATTATGAATTCACACACACACAACACACACAGACATATTTAATAAAATTTCTGTTGCAGATTATGAATGCTTGAAATGTTTGAAAAGCCAGTTTCCAATTGTGGATGATTCAGTGTTCTTCCTATGAATAACAAACGTTATGTTTGTTAGAAATACAGTGAAACTCCACAAGCGTGGTACAGTTGTATTTTTTTTGTCTTGCAGACTTTTTTCTCTGTTATCTCCTTTACTAACAGGTAAACCATAAAAACTGCTTCTACTTTTTTGTTAGTTTCCATCAACTTTTAATTTCTGCTCTTAATTTTCCGTAGTCTCAAAAAGTACATTAATAAGCTACTTCAAATTAAAGTGTAAACAGACTCTAAACGAAATAAGTTTTGTAATAACTATGTGGTTACCTGAAGCATTTACCAATATATACAAATCCATGGCTATCTTATGGAATGTTGGTTCTCCATTGGTTTGACTTCCAAATTAGAGCTTTACTAAACTCCATGTCAATGTATGTATACCTAATTGGGCTGTGTCTTTTCTACTATGAGACAAATTTTAACTATGAAATCAGTAATTTAAAGAGTCACTTAATTACAAATTTTCCTTAAGTGTAAAAAGAAGAGGATTACTAGTGTAGTGTGTTTTAATTTTCTCTATCAGAAATCAGATGAACTTACTGCTTATTAAAACTGTATGATCACATTTTTTTCTAAAATAATAAAACACACCCAAAAAACTTCACAAATTATAAGGTTATGGTCCTCTAGTAGCTCTTCCCTGCATTCTTGAAAATACTGAGGTTATTTTTGACAAAGTAGTCATTATAAATTTTATTTTATATTTAAAATATCTTAAGTTTATATTCTGTTACATAATATCATTCTTTACTTCAAATACAGATACATTAAGTTATTTATTTATTTGTTCATCCATTCATCCATATATTTATTCAACCCATGCCCCATGCCAGAAAGGATTCTGAGAAATATATTATGAATTACTTAAAATAATTTTGTAGTGTTTTGACGTCATTGATATGCCTCTTGTCCAAGACATTTTCTATTGTTGCTTGAAGTCATAAGTATAATTTATTCACAGTATTGAATTGTATTATCCACACTTCTAAAGTAATGTCTTTCTAAAACTAATGTGCTTGTTAAAAATTCAGATTACCCAATTCCTTTTCCTGTTTCTTACCAAACAGACTTTATTTTTTTCTTATTGTCATCGATCCCATAAGTGATAGAAACTGAATAAACACACAGTGGGTTCATATGTCATTAATTAGCCACCCGTTTTGAAATCCAAGAAACCTGAAGATACCTTTGATTCCTTTTACTGTGTGCTTTCTCCTATGAAAGTGTGGCGTGGCTATGATGCTGATAAGTTAGCTCTGCTTTCCTGCCCAATTTCCACCTGTGGCACCAACGCCTCTCATGGCCTTCTCTCCTTCCTCCTTAGCTATCCCCAGCTCCAGTATCCTCCCCTCTGCTCCCAGAGATGTGGTCCCAGTCTTGGTTTCCAGTCGGTTTGTCCGTCTCAGCTGGCGCCCACCTGCAGAAGCAAAAGGAAACATTCAAACCTTCACGGTCTTTTTCTCCAGAGAAGGTGACAACAGGTAGGTACTACCAATAAAATTAAGCTTAATCCACCATCTCCTTAAATGTTGACCATGGGGTGATGGCAGCGGAAGATCTTGAGCAGGAGACTGTGTGAAATCTCTACTCTGTGCTCTTCACTCATTACTAATTGGGGATGCGTGGTTTTAAAAAGCAGAATTGTTTACAGAATCAAATGAAATAATGTATATAAAACTTTCTTGAAAAGAAGCCAAGAATGTGAATATATTTTACCAATTTGTTCTTTCCTTGATTTTTAAAGTGATTAACAGAGAACAGAATTAGGCTGTTGAAAGAACAGAGCAAAAAAGAACCACTATGGCTATGTTGTAATCTCAACTCTGTCACTGATGTCACATGATCTCAAAAAATGCATGACTTCTTGGAGCCTTACTTTACTCTATAATAAGGAGGAAATAATGATTCTTACCTTGCAAGATTTTTGTTAGGATTAAGGTAGGTTGCATATATAAAGGTCATAGCAGAGTGTCTAATATTTGGTTGAAGTTGTTACTGTGAATAGTATTATTGACCCAGCAAAAGTGAGCTGTGTGTGTCTGGTTTCAACATTACAATCTACTGTTTTGTTTTCAACATTTTCCTCATAAAATGTTTCAGCACTTTAAGACTTTGAAATGTGGTTTCTAAGTCTAAGGTAGACATTGGGTAAGTTCCACATGAAGAGAAGCAGGGGTTCATGTTCTGATCTTCTAGTCTCTCAAATTCGTGAGTGTTTTAAACACACAATGATCTTTAGGAACCCCTCAGGACTTGAAAGAGACGATGAAGATTGGGCTTGCCAGAGCGGTATTTAGTTCAACATGCTGAGGTATAAAAATTAGGTGGTATAATAAAATTCCTCTCAAGCTGGGTCTAAAAGTACTTTTCTTCCTAGTTGGTAGTAATGGTTAAATTATATATTTTTTTGTTTCTATTTTATTTTACAATTTGGCCTGACTTTAAAATGAAAAGAAAGAAATAGCTATACATGTACAGCCTCATGCTCACAAATATCATTCACCATCATGAAGCAGTAGGCATTTGTATTTGTCTTATCTCTGCAATTATTTAACTTCACGGCCTCCAATATGTTCTTTGGATTTCAGTGTCAGCAGTTGTGAAAATTGGAGGTAATAACTCCTGCCCAATCATCTTCATGTATTTACATGGATTTCCTGGAGGCACCTTAAGTTCAATCTGCTCAAAACCATGCTCACTGTTTCCTCCTTAAATGTATTTTTCCTCTCTTTTCTTGGTTTATTTTAGTACCTTCTGTCGAGTTGACCAAGGAAAAACTCAAACCGTATTTTACTAGTCTGCCTCTCAAACTGCTATTCTTCATCCAGTTCTGTCAAGTTTACCTTCCCATTGCTCAGACAGGCCCCTTTATTTTATTACTTTCATCGTCATTTACCTGATCTCTGGAAACAGTTCTCACCTTCTAATTCATCCTTCTCACTATCTGTATTTATCTTTTGAAATACAGTTTGGATCACTCACTCCACTGCTCAAAAATGTGAACATTCTTAAACTCAACTGGCAACAAATCAACAGAAACACACAAGATTTAAATTATGCTTTAGACCAACTGGACTTGGTAGATATATACAGGACATTTCACCCAACAACTAGAGAATATATGTTCTTCTCATCAGCACATGGAACCTTCTCCAAGACAGACCACATATTAGGTCATGAATCAAGTCTTGACAACTTTTAGAAAACTGAAATAATTGTATGCATCTTCTTAGACCACAATGTGTTAAAACTAGAAATCAATAACAAACAAAACTCAGGAAACCATACAAATACGTGAATCAAACAGGAAATCAAAAAATTTCTTGAAACTAATGATAATAATGACACATCATACCAAAAACATTTTTTGTTGTTGTTGTTTTTGCAAAAGCAGTACTACAGTGAAATTTCTACATAAAGACATGTACATGGTAACTTCCAAATTCTTTTGAATACAGTCTAGCCTCAATCTCTTTATGAGTACAAGTGTGGTTGCTAACATCTGTAATGGTTAAAGATGGTTAAGTCCAAATAGCTGGGTTTGAAAATGATCTTACTCTTTATCAGACATGTGGCTTTTGTGTATTTAGTCATGTATAAAACAAGAATAATACCACTCTGGGGGAATGTATAAAAAGAAGATAAATTCTACCTCTCAGGATTGCTATGAGTACTAGTGAGGGAACTCAGCTAAAGCATTCAGGGCAGTCACTGCACACAGGCAGAATGGAGGGACTCAGAAAAGTGTGAGTTCAGGGACAATGCAGGGAAAAAAGAGGAAAATAGGCTCAAAGGGTGCAAGAAGAAGGAGGAAGAGAAAGAGGAGAAGAAAGAAGAAGGAGAAAGAGAAGTTGCAATTTTTTGAGCAAATATTTTATTTTTATAACTGCTCAGTTTCCTGCTTATAATATTATTTTGTCGATTTCTCTTCTGTTTAAACCATCTTATCTTTCAAGTCCAAGCACCAATCCTCCATACCACCTTGGTTACTAGTTCCCACGGTCATACCATGGTCCTTGTCAACACCAAAGAAACCTTTGATTCCACAGAGAATCACTTCATTGATCCTTGGATGTTTTCACTGTCCCTAATCCTTCCTATTTTCCTTCACTCACCAAACAGCTAAAATTCCACGGCCAATTATTACAAACACTGGCTGACATACACCGATGCTTTGCTTGCTACTCTCTCATTTCATATTACTTGCTTAGCAAAAACCAACTCAAGGGCCGGCCCGGTGGCGCACTGCTACAGTGCGCCGCTTGGGAGCATGGTGGCGCTCCCGCCGAGGGTTCGGATCCCACATACAGACCGGTTCCTGCTCACTGGCTGAGCGAGGGGAGGGCACAGTGCCGAGGGTTGCAATCCCGTTGCCGGTCCTGGTCCGGTACGGGCACGACACTGAGGGTTGCAGTCCATTGCCGGACACGAAAAAAGACAAAAAGGAAAAAAAAAAAAAAAAAAACTCAAGATAATGTAACTTTTACTATAACTTTCTATCTACTCTACTTCCAGTCTTGTCACTCAATATAGCTGGAGGAAAAAGTACAGCTGGGCTGACCTGTCTCACTTTAAATTCACAGCTACCAATCTCATGGTACCTGGTAATGCTACTGGCAGTTATACTATATTTATCAGTATTAGTATTACATTTATCTATCACATACACTCCTAATAATATTTGATACCTTTCCTCTCTTTGCAATCTTTAACATCTTCCCCCTTTCCCTCACTTTTAGTTAGACTTTGCTGCTAATTTTTTAGGAAATCAAAAGAGAGTTTTTTTTTTAAGCTTCCATATCTGACTTATCTACCCAAGTGTGTCTGCAAGCATCTAATCTCTCTCCTCATTTTTCTATAAAAGAACTGCCTGTGCTCTTAAATAAGGCCAAACCTTCAGTTGTGCATGAGTTTCCATCTTTTCTTGCAACATGGAAGAGCAACTCTTCAGCCACTCTTTCTTTCTCCTGATTCATTAATTTCCAGGATCATGGTTATCACCATATAAGCATTCAGTAGTATCTTCCATTGCAATGAATTCTCCTCCCTGGAAAATGCTCTCTCCTCTACCACTCCTTTTTCTGTTGCCTTTTATAACAACATTTCTTGAGTTGTCTAACTTCATTCCATTATTTCACCTTATAATGAAATCATGTGGGCAGGAATGTTTTTGTCTCTTATATACTGAGCTGTTTCAGCATCTAGAACAATATCTAACCCATAGTGTACTCACTAAATATTTGTTGAATTGAAGCCCTAACTGAAATGTCAACTACTATGTGAAGCTTTCCACAGTCCTGCAGATCAGAATTCATCAGTTTCTTCTTTATAATTCCCCTTCACTTTGATTACATCATGATCATAGCATTTGCCACCTTTTGCTCTGTTTGACGTTTAGTTGAGCGCATCTGTTTCCCTCCCTGATGATTGACACTAGGTCTTATTTATAATTCCATGCCCAAGTGTCTAGTATCATGCCCTGTGTAGACATTTACCGATCTGAACATATAGGATAAAGGTGGCAGAGAAACTGATGTGATATTCTTAATAGATTTTTTCCTTGCCCAGTAAAATATATTGTGTTACTAAGGGGGGTGAATAAACTGACTGCAGATCAATAAAAACTTTTTTTTAATTGAGAGAAAAAGAGTTAATATTGAAATTTGATTCTAATATTTTCATTCATCTTGTGTTTTCTGCCTCTCAACTACATCAAATATATGCCATATGACTCTGAGCAGTTTGCTGTGATGTTTGTTAGCTCATGTAGGATTATTCTGCTCCTCAACACAACAGCTTTTTAAAAGGTAGTGGATTTAACATTTGCCTCAGATTAGCAATAACTTTGTCAGGCAAATTACTCTAGCTCAGATTATCATTAACCTGTCTGGCTAGTTAATGGTGTCAGTAATGCAAGTGCCATATTTAGTAATTTTTATTCAGCTCCTTGGGGTGCTTTCATTTCATAAGTCAGAGAACAGCATGAATTCCAAAACCTGAAAACCAGAATTCACAATGAAGTAATTTCTTCACAGACCTGCAGCTATCACCTCCTAGTACATAAAAATCATTAGAACTGAAAGCAATCTTTGAGATCATAATCTAACTTTCTGCTACTTCAACATTCAGAGGCCGATGCTCAGGGATGGGGGTAAGTCCAAGCCCAAAGCTACAGAGTTAGTATCAATAATAATAGAAACATTTATTGAGCACTTACTGTGCCAGACACCAGGCTAAGCATTGTACATAAATTATCTTTTTTTAATCTTCACGACAAAACATTATTCAGATGAGGCTTATAGAAATTTACAAATTGGTTATACAGGTAGTAAGTAGTAGAACCAGAATTTAATGCAAGCATGAGTCCAAAGCAGGTGCCCTCAGTCCCTATACCACCTTGCTCAGTTAGTGGGTTAACCTAGAAGAGAGCTAAGTTTTCTTGATATCTATAGAATTATTACATGCATTTCTTCTATATGTT